GTCTATGCAGGCTCAGAGCTCTCTTCTAGGCTGCCCTGACCTGTGTGGGAAGTGCCATTTGAAGCTGTTGGGTCACACTGATGGCATCTGGCCAAGGTACTGAAGGGTAATGAAGATGAATGAAGTGGTGAAGGAAGCATCTTCATGGGAGAGGAGTAAGGCATAGTATCTCTAACTCTTGAGAGGGTCATAGATGCTGCTGCAAAAAGAAAACCCTTATATTTTTTAATTGGATGTTGAGTCAGAGGTTGTGAATGGACTCTTGGAAGAGGTGAAAATTGCAGTACCTTAAACTTTGCTGAATCTAAAAAGCTGAGGGTGAGAATATGGAATGGTGGCATTTGTTTCAAGTCTATCAATTTTTAGGAATAAAAATATATCAGATGGTAGAACCTCAGGGAATATTGATTTCTCTTCTTTTCTGAAATTCTCTGGAGCAGTAAGTTTTTGAGTATTTGAATGAATAGAGGTTTACATATCCCTCTGAGACCGGGGGTAGGTCATCCATCCAAATAAGTGAGCCTCCTTGGATTTATTTTAAGAGTTTAATAAGAGTCAGTTATCTTCCTAAACATAATGATCCCATTTTGTAAAGAAGTCTCCCCCACTGCTGGGTTTGGAGTCTTTTTAACCCTGAGGATGGCTCTCCCCAGAAAGAAGCTATGGGTGCAAACACATAAAATTTGATGTCATGAGCTTTCACATGTTTCTGCATCTTGGTCTCTGATTCAAATCTTTGGTATGGGCAGAATTGTATGTTGAAACTCTAACTCCCAATACGACTATATTTGTAAACAGAGCCTAAAAGAAGGAAATTCGGTTAAATGAAATTATAAAGCTGTGGTCTTAATCCAATAGATTTGGTTCCCTTATAAGAGTAAGAGATTCCAGAACTCTCTTTCTCCAACATGTGAGAATACAGCAAGTATGCAAGCCAGGAAGAGTTTTCTTACCAGGAACCAAATCAAGCAGTACTCTGATCCTAGATTTCCCAGCTTCTAGAACTACGAGAAAAATTTTTCTGTTATTTAAGTCACTCAGTCTTTGTTATTTTGTTATAGCAGTCCAAGAAGACTGATACTAGTCTCTAACTTTGAAAATGCTCTGGCCCCTAAAGTACCTGTGCTCATGGTTATTTATCCATGAAAGAGTAGGTCTGAGGAGAATTCCCTAGTGAGCCATGTTCTCTATGTAGACGGACTTCTCTGGGGGTGTATGGGAGCCTGGGATGATGGGACAGCACCAGCTGAAAGGGTATGCCTGGTGCTCTCTTTCTGCCTCCCCCTGCCCACCCCACATCATGAAGGGCATGCGGAAGGAGGAAGTGTTTGTGCTGGGCTTGGACTTCTTGTCTAGGCTTTTCTTTATTTCACTGGGCAGGGCATCCATTGGAATCCAGGGGCCTCCTCGGATTTCTTTCACCCATTCAATAGGAGGCGGATAGCCTAATGAACACAATAATCCCATTTTATGGAAGTCGCTCCTCACAGGTAAGATTGGAGCTACTGAATGCTGAAACAAACTGCTAGGAATGCGAGAAGCATTCATTCCTTAAAAATCTATTTTGTCCATTCTTATCTCTCTTGCAAAAGCTGCTGCTGTTTGAATTGGGTGAAATTTGAAGACAAGGACAATGGGAGTTGTAATTTGCAGATTCTGGGAGAGCAGAATCTCAAAGCCTAGTGGGTCCATGAGCATTAATTTGTATTGGGAGAGGGGAGCATGTTCATGTATTTTCTTTGAAACTTAGAAAGTGAAAACAAAGTCTGAATGATGAAGGGTAACCAACATAATATGTGGGGTTCCGTGTGACAGGTGTAAAAGAACAGACAGCATTCAGAAATGGGATTCGGCAATTTTGACCTCCAAGCTGCACTTTCTCAAGGTCACCTTTACTAGCACATCTTTGCCCATCTGCATTAGATACCCAGTACCCAGGAACTAGGGATTTTAGCTTTTCACTCAAATCTTTACTCTCATTTTAGGCAATAATACAATAATTGTTTTGCCATAAGGGGATGATTGTGTGCAAAAGTTTTTGCTAAGTCATTTAAATCACATTAGTGAGCAGAAATTTCATGACTGACAATATGGCTGCTGCATTTCTTCACATCTCAATGGCAAAAGGGCCACTTTACCTTAGAAAATTCATACTTTTAAAGCAGATGCATTAGTTTAAAGTCAGCCTTTAGATATGTGAACCTTTATGTCCTACAGAGCGCCCTATGAGCCCACTGTGATGGAATAGTTCCCTTTTCTGTTTAAAAATGGACAAATTATGTAACTTCTGGGAGTTCTCCTTTATAAAATGAGGTTGTTAGTCTGGTAAAAGATCCTTTAAAAAAATGGAAATGTCCTCTTTCTCCTGGATTTCTGTGTTTAAAACTTCTAGAACAACAGTTTCTGTGCCAAAAAGCATCTAGGCAAAAAGCATCTTCAGAAGACTTGAATGTGCAAGATCATGAAACCAGGTGTTTAGAGACCAGTCCTTGCAGCTGCAATGACCAGTAAATAGCCCTCCCCTGGTTTCTGGATTCTCTTTTTAGGGGAATAGACAACAACAAAGGAAGAATACCAGCTCAACTTGTATAGTTGCTAATTATCCAAATGAGTCATTTATCTAAGTGCTGGAAATTACCCACAGGAAATTATCCTGAGGTCCCAGTGATGAGTACCTATGATTTACTCAAATCTGACATGGAGAAGTCAGCTGTCACCAGTTGTAGTCAACAAATCCAAAGCAACATAGAGAGGAAGTAGGAGACAGTGAAACTAGTTACTTTAGTGTGTAAAATCTGAAAATTATCTGCCTATAAACATGAGTAGGTACACATTTTTTTAGGATAGCCCAGGGTATATTTTATTTGCCCCTAATCTTTCTAGTCTCCCCAAAGTAAAGTGTTGAGAGTGCATTGGCACCAAGCACTATGCTCTTTGCGAACTACAGTAAACACCTATTTTGTTGATTATAAGGACTTTTCTGTAAAAGAAAAATAGAAATCTGCGGAAATTGCAAATCTTGGAGGAAATCTAGACATTTGAAGCTCATAATAAATGGAAGTAAATAATAATGTATTAGCCTTACCAAGTTTGACTAGTGCTATAGTCATCCCCAAACTTAAGTTCTTGCTTAGGAACAAGTTGAAATCTGCCTTTTGAAGGAGAATATGCCAGAAGGTTTTAGCAGACAGAGTAACTGCTTTGTGATTCTTCCTTATTCATACCACAAATAGTAACATTCTGAAGATCTGCATGCACCTTGGAGAGTCCTCCTTAGTTTTTGCTTAGCTCTGTGATATCAGTGGGCAGCTTTGTGTCTGAGACAGGGGCTCCCCATGCAATGTCTGCAAAAAGCAGTTCAGGAAGACACAATGAGTAAAGTGGGCTAGGGAGAAGGAAAATTCTCTGATGCCAACAAGTGATATTTCACTTCCTAAATCTACTAAGAAAAAGGCATGTCGTGAGATGATAAATGTTAGTAACAGTTGGTCTAAGTTTGGAGATGTAAGGGGGGGCTGGCAGTTGCTACTCAGTTCCAACCAGATGTTGCCACACACAGATGCTGCCCTAAACCCGGCAGATTTGATTTTCCCTCAAGAATCTGGATTTTAAAAAGTGAAAGTCCAGACTTGTTTATTTTTTTCAGCTAATTCAAAAGTTTCTTAAATTTTGTGAGAGACAATCCTGTGTTGGCCTAAACCCTATCCCCCTCCACCCCTACTTCCTAATACATCTATGTAATAGATTTGTCCAAGATATCACCATTTTATACCATGTGGAGGCAGAAGGAGGAAAACCCTATTTTCACTTGTACCATCTTCAATTTGGAGAAAAAACTAAGGTGTGTAGATTATTTTTTTTTGTATGTATTTAAATAGGCTTTCCCAAATAAAGGGAAAAATATTAAAAGTTAAAGGTCATTTGACAACAATAGTTATAACATTTAAATAGATACTGTACTTTGGAATTTAGTTGCTGGGCATCAGAGTCAATATTGTTGGGCTATTGTGGAAAGTATGATTTTGCGTCAGGACCCAAAAGCATACCTATGTGAGTTGTCACTGATGTCAAGCATTTGGCATCTACACAGCTATCTTGCTGTGAATACTAATTTCCTCAATAAAAAATTCTTTGCAATAATTCAGATTGCTCCATATACAATAAAAATGTGGACATTTATATTCAGGTAATACAGGGAATTTTCAAGTTAAAAAATAGATATTTGGCACCCGTAGTCTGACACTACCACAGGAAAGACTCCTTTATACTCAAAAAGCAAAATTAGATGTTTTATCTGAAAAACAAAAAAAATCTTTTACAAAACATGGGCCCCTTTCACATTGCCTTAGATGCATGAAGGCAAAACATCTTGCATATTAAGTATTGATTTTTTTAGCATAGCTACTGCTTCAGATTTTCTATCTTTTTTCTCAGTCTTTGATGTTTTTATAGTGGTCTTTGCCTTTATCTCCCAAACCAGGTACTACCACATTTTATGTAGTAATACATCAATAAAGGGATTTTTATTTGTAGTTTTCTGTTGAAAAATACAATAATTAATTTGAGTTGCATTTGGTAGTAAGGAAGTATCTTTTTTACTGAATTGCTTGAATACCTTCAGGTTTTATGTGATTAATATTTAAAGAGTGCTGAGGTAATTAAATACATACATACCCTGTTTCTCAGACTAGGATTAGAAGCATGTGTTGAAGTCACTGGAGATGAGATATAATGAGATGAAGACTGGAAAGGATTTAAAACTGTGTGAACATGTAGACTTGTGAAATCCCCACAAATTACCACAGAAGCCAATGTGGTTCTTGTTCTAATTTTAGTGCCCTACTCAGTTTCACTTACTAATTTGGCTCTTTGGTATCCTTATTATGACTAGCAGATCCATCAGAAAGATTTTTGGTGGAAATGTTTTTGTGCAGTATCTACTCCCAAGCATTGTTCCTAGGGATATTAATAGGCTAACATGCATTTTTTCCATTCGGCAGAAGAATGGATGCAGTTTCAACACTTGGATCCCATTCATGACTCACTGCAACACAAGATAATACTGCCATTTCTTTAAGTATTTGCTGTGATCTCCTGGTCATTAACCTCTTTAAGGACAGGTAAGTGTTTTTGTATCCATTTATGTACTTATCTTATATGCTTGATAAATATTTGTCCAAAAATTATTGTAACTGATGAATAAAAATGTGGAGATGGTGAAATAAGGTTCTGGGAAATCTAGAGTAAGTTCCGAGTTTCTGGCTTGGAATACTGGGAGACAGGGTAAGCCATAAGTCAAGGAAGGAAATATAGATAGGAGATATATCAGTATAGGGAAGTGAAGAGGATATATATATTAATTAACAAATTTTTAAAAATTGAGATATAATTCATACACCATGAGAATCTTCCCTTCGAAGGTGTACAATTCAAGGCCTCCCTGGTGGCCTATGGGTTAAGTCTCAGTGTTACCGTTGCAAAGGCCTGAGTTGGAGACCCAGCCAGGGAGGTAACCCACATATGGCGCAGCAGACCTCTCCTACCTCTCCTCCTGGTCCCCTTGTATTTCAGTAGATCCGCCTGTTCTGCTCCCTACTCTGTCTCTGGTGAATCCTCTCATCCCCCATACCTCTGGTCTATACCCCCGTTCTTCTACACAAAAGTAAATAAAAAATCTTTTAAAAAAGTGTACAAGTCAGTGTTTTTTTAGTACATTCATAAAATTGTACAACTACCATTATCAATTCCAGAATATTTTTATCACCTCCAAAAGAAACCCTGAACTCATTAGAGTCACCACCTATTCTTCCTTTCCCTCAGTTCCACAAATGCCAATTTATTTTCTGTCCCCATGGACTTGCCTGTTCTCTGCATTTCATATAAACAGAATGATACAATACTTCACCTTTTGTGTTTTTGACTTTGTTCACTTAGTACAATGTTTTCAAGGCATATCCATGTTATAGCATGCATCAGTACTTCGTTCCTTTTTAATGACTGAATACTATCCCATTGTATAAATGTATTTCCAATTGCTTAAGGACATTTGGGTTGTTTTCCAATTTTTTGACTGTTATAAATAATACTGCTATAAACATTTGTATGCACATTTTTGTGTGGACATAAGTTTTCAATTCTCCTGGGGATATATATATATATATATATATATATATATATATAGTCATGGATGTTGATGGGGATACATTCTGATAAATGTTTCATGAGATGATTTGTTCATTGTGCAACCATTGTAGTGTATACTTACACAAACATAGATGGTATAGCCTGCTACACCATGTAACCTAGACAATTAGGTTATGTGGTCTAAACTATGGGGACCACCATGGTAGATGAGTTAGCCAATTGTTGACAGAAATGTTGTTAAAGGAAGCATGACTGTATCTAGGAGTAAATTTGCTGAACCATTTAAACTGTTATGTTTAAATTTCTGAAGAACTGCCAAGAATAGAAGAATTTTTAAAGTGGCTGTGTTATTTTATATTTCCATTAGCAATATAAGGCATGAAAACTTATCCAAAAGTTAAAGAAAACTTGCCCAAAGTCACATACTAGTAAGTAGCAGCGGTAGGATGGTATCAATCTATATGGAGATCCCACTCTGTCCTCTTCAGTATGTCATGCAGCTGGCCTGTTTGGTGCAGAATCAATGAAATAGAAGTGCTGTTTGAGCTGTGGTTACAGATGAGTTTGCTCTGGAGCTTGAAGTGAGGGGGCAAGGCCAGGCATAAAGACCTACAGACCCACATAGGGACCTCTAGACCCATAGCAATTGAGAGGCCAAGCGGTAGGAGAAGAGTGTGCACAAGACCAAGAAGGTGACCAGAGGTGCAAGAGGGAAAACCAGGCAAGGAGTGGGGGGTGGGGAGAATTGCCAAGAAAATCATTTGAGATAATTTTAGAGAAAAACTCACTGCTGAGCTTTTGTGCAACTTCTGCCACAATGTGGCGATTTCTACCAGAGTAGTTCTGGTGACATGTGGACATAGAAACTGGAGGGAGTATTGAACAGAACTTGTTTTTGGTGATCTGAGAGGGCATGGAATAGAGTCAGCATATTCTACTTGGCCATGAAGGGTAGGAAGTTAGGAAAAATGCCAATAGAGAACTGGTGGAGTTTATTTCTTTTGATTTTGGCCAGAAAAGACAACCCATGTTTTCTTAAACTCCTAGCAGTTTAGTTACAATTCATTAATTCCTCCTCTTCTATAACTGTACCAACAAAAGCCACATTCCCATTTCTTTGCCTCCTGTAACGTATTAACAGTGAATATGAAAAGTTACTCCTCTCTCTCTCTCTCTCATCTCCCTAGTTCCACTAATGAGTAAAAAATATCCATGATTCATGTACCACGAGTTACACAATTTCTGAAGGCTAGTATGGCATGAGGTCTATCAACCTCATGGTTCTTGAGAATTCCAAAATTTCTTTTCAGCATTTTGGACAAGCTCTTCTGACCTCCTTATCCTCCATATATATTTCTGCCATTAATCCATTAATGATCTTGTTCTAATGGGGGCATATAATTTAAATTTTGAATAACCACTTCACAAATGTGGTTTGCAACATTTAGCAATTTTAGGACTTCCTTTTTTTTTACACTAAAATCTCTTTCACATGAATTTTTTTATTCTCACGAGGAAGGCAGAGTCATATTCTCTTTCATGGTAGAAATGACGAAAGTGAACAACCTTAGAGAAGCTAAGTGGGACCTACTACATTATTGATTTTCTGGTGAACCAGTTCAATTTTCTCTTTCCTTGGTATGCAGAGACTTATTTTCAGGTATAAGGTGAAATTAGTTCATGTTTTAGAAGAGAGGACTAGAGATATCACCACCTCTTCAGATTTGGTTCCCTTTTAAAGAAAGGAAGAATCTATGTGCTATTGGTGAAACATATGAAATAAAACTATAATGTCATTAGAAAAGCCATTTGACAAAGTCATTAGGAGGAGACTCCAGCTGTGTATATTTAACTAAGGGTACAGAAAATTAAAGCATAATTTTTGATTCTCATACTTTACTTTTAATAGGTTCCAATATAAAGTCTACCTCCAAATCCTTGATTTAGAAGTAATTTCAATTGGAGACTTTATCGTCCCATGAAAGACTACTATAAACGTACTGGGTTTTGTACAGGAGCAAAATGTCTTCACTCAGATGATAACATATTACAGCTTTACTTAAAAGTGTATAATTAATTTTACAACTTTAAACCAGCCTGAATCTATGTATATAAAAGTTAGCATCAAAATGGTGTAAGAAATTTAGCTTTTAAAGCTTATTTCTGTCAAAGAGAAATTGGATAATAAAATGAATAATAATAAAGATAATGATAAAGTATCATGCAGACCCCATGCTTTCTTTTATTTATTTGAACATTCATTTATCTGTGCCTTTTTTTAAATCCAGAGACAGTTCAGAACTCAGTGCATCCCTATCTGACCCCAAACATTTTACTCTGTCATCAGCCTTTGTTATAAATAATGTCTCATATGTGTTTTTATACTTTTTCACATGACAATGAGTTTCTTGACAGTAGGTTGCAGATACCCATCCCATGCATAAATTTGGAATCATGCTCAGCTATTTCCAGCAACTTCACTGTCCAACACCACTGGATTTAGCTGGTATTTTCTGTTTTACTTTTGTGACCCATATATATTAATGCCTCCAGATGTCTCCTCCTTCAGGAAGTCTTCCTATATCTCTTTAAGTTAAAGTCAGTTCCATTTATGTGCTCCTCTAATACCTTGGACATGTCTCTGACAGTGGACTTAATAGGCTCATTGTTTTATAATAACCAGTTTATAATCTGTATTCTGCAAGGGAATATGAGTTCTTGAGAAGTAACTCTTTACATCGGCAGCTTAAAGCACAGTATTTGACATCTAATAGATATTCTATAATTATTGGCCTTTTTTGTTCAACCAGACAAATACCTTTCTCTGAGAGCATGGATTTTGGAGTTACTCTTTCAATATGTTAGTGCTTCTTGCTGCATTCTCACATAACAACTTAGAATTCAATTTTTAAAATCCTTTCCCAGTGTATCCAGAGAAAGGCAGCTTTCATGCTCTGTATAGAGTAATGGTAGATGAGCACTTAGCCTGTGCCTTCTAGTCACATTTTCTTACTTCACAGAGACTCTCTCTGCAGTATCTTCATTCTCTTGGAGCCTCCTTTGTGTATATTCTATCACATAAGATTATATTCTGGCCCCTCTGGGAGGAACCATGGTTTTTATTTACTCATGTCACTAATGGTACCAAATACTCAACAGAAGTCAATAACCAGCTCAGAACTCATCTCATAGGGACTCCTCACATTATTTTTAGTAAAAATAAGAAACAAGAGTTAGGTACATTTTATTTATTGCTGTATTTCTGGAAAGGGGTTTGGCCTCCCAAAGTTCAATGGGTAAAGTGCCCAGCACAGTAACTCAAAAAGAAAGCACTCAAAAGAATGAGCTCCTCTACTTCCTCCTTCATCATGTTCTCCATCATCATCATCATCATTAAATTCACCCCTAAGTGAATGAATGATAGGAATGTGACCTCATTTAAAGAAATGTGGAACCAGTTCTTTGCAGAGCATTAGTGTCTCTGACAAGATTCTTCTGAATATAATACCAGCATCTTCAGGAGAAGAAAACATAGGTCTTTAACAAAAAAGTTGTTCCACAAAGTGAAAAATATTAAATATTAAATATCCTAACTTAAATGCTTCCTAGTTTGGGATCTTATTTTGGTATATTATTTACAACTTGAACATGGAGTTGCCATAGTAGGTCAAAACCCTTCCATGTAATTGAATGTGTCCATCTGGAAACCATCTGATTACAAGTATCTAAAATGTGTACAGATTGTTCTCTTCCACATTCAGCTGCAGTGAATGCTAGGAAAATGCCTCCTTTGTTGGAGATAGAATTCTATCATAATACTAGAGCTTCTTTAAGACTCTCATTTCTCATTCAATTCAAGTCAGATAGATTTAAATAAGTTAGTTCGGTTGCCAATACCAAAATATAAATAACCAAGGAAAATAATCAAAATGTAGCTTAACCTTGTTATTTAATTGTTACCCAAAAATGTAAGGGG